AATATCCCTTAATTAACGAATATACCTTAAATCTATACCCTAGATCATATGAGGGATCCTATTATAATTTAAGGTATATTCCTTAATTAAGGGATATACCTTAGATCTTATTAGGGATCCTACTATAATTTAAGGTATATTCGTTAATTAAGGGATATTCGAGTCTCTGGGATTCACAGCTGCAAACCCGAAGGGTCCAATATTCCTAGAAAGTAGAATGTAGGGCTTTAGGGTTTTAGGGTTTAGGGTTCAGGGGTTTAGGATTAAGGGTTTAGGGGTTTTAGGGGTTTTAGGGTTTAGGGTTTGGGGGTTAGGGTTTCTCTATTCGGAATAGTTATTATGGTTTGGGAAAGTATCCCCTATAACAGTACCTAGGGCCCTTTTGGGCAGCTATTTGCTAAGAGGCCTTCCGCAGAAATCCTGAGCATGGCACGCCAACGTCCAAATCGGAGCTTGCCGAACGATGTCTGCCTTCTCCTGCGGCCACACAGCAAGTAAGAAAGCAGAAGGTTAGTCAGAATGGCATACGGCAAATCTGCATCAACCTCCCTATCCAACATCGGTGAACTACTTAACTCAGTTCGGACTTCGGACTTACAGGTTCGTGGGAGTTTGCCCAAAAGCCTCGACCCTTCAGTCCTCGCCGAACTTGTCTCTAATGCTCACATGGCCTCAGTCTTGGACCAAGCCAGGTACCAATATAGAGGCCTAAATAATTACCCATTTTATTTGGGGGCTTCCCCATTAGAGATATACTGTAATGGGCCCCAAAAACCTATTCTAATTCTTGAAGGCCCTACATTAACCCTAAACCCCTAAACCCCCAAACCCTAAACCCTAAACCCCTAAACCCCCAAACCCCATAACCCCTGCTAAGGAAAGGTAGGCCTTGCCCATGAAGCTCAACCGAAACCCTGAAACCCTTGAAGCCCTAAACCTACACAGGCAGGTCCAGAAGACTAATTATAGTATATTATAGTATAATATATATATATATAATAGTACATTATATCATAGTAGATTAACTACAGTATATTCTAGTATACTATAGCCAGTATATTTTAGTACATCCACACACAATAGCCTGGAACCAGAAGACCAAGCCGCTAAGACAGGACGCGACGGGACTGTGAACAAACGCTTGCTGCCTGTACCATTCCTGAAGCTCTGCTTACGTAGGGTTTAGGGCCCTCAGTTTGGGGGTTTAGGGGCTTTGGGTTTAGGGGTTTAGGGTTTAGGGGATTAGGGGGTTTAGGGTTTAGGGGTTTAGGGGAAGTCCAAATGACGTGTATCGCAAGCATCGACTGGGTGCCTCTGAAGTAGCTGGCCTCATGTTCTGGGTGTCATTCAGCACCAAAGCCAAGACTGGCATTTTGGATCTCTGCTTACTTGGAAACAGTACACCCCCATACAGTCGCAGCACACTTTTCTGACATTCACCGCCAAAGCCTAGTTCAACTTCGAAGGGTCCTATGTTTAGGGTTTAGGGTTTAGGGTCCTATGTTTAAATTGTAAACACACAACAAGCAGCCCTTCAAGCACTGTGTCATGAAGGCATCTATTCCATTAGATAAGGCCCCCTGCTGCAAAGATCATGGAGGCCCCTGCATGAAACCGTGTAGAGCCCCGTAAAGCTGTAAAGCCTTGTTCGAAGCCTTGTCCCCAAGACTGGAAGCTGCATTCGTGGCTGAACATCTGGGGGGCAAGGCCGCTGAAGAGGCCCAGGGCGATGTGAAGGCCATCGTTGGTCCACGACATCGATAGGATCTTCGAGTTCACCTTGAGGGGATAAGGGCGTTGGGTTCAGGGAGTAGGCTTCATCCAGGGTTTAGGGTTGTAGGGTTTAGGGTTTAGGCTTTAACAAGGGTTTCGGGCTATGAGGAGAGAATCTTCGAGTTCACCTTGATGGGATAAGGGCTGCGGGCTTAGGTAGTAGGGCTTAGGGTTTTGGGTTCGATGAGGGATCAGCATGTAGGGGTTGATAAGGCCGCTGACAGGCTTTACAAGAGTCTTCGATTTCACCGTTCACCCCAAGTAAGGGCCTGAGTTTTAGGGAGCTTCTACAACGGTTTAGCAGGGCGTTTAGGGTTATATAGGGTTTGATGAGGCCTCTATATAAGGCGTTCTGTAAGGTTTCGGCTGTTGCGGTTTTTTCCGGGCGCGGGGTCGGGGTCGCCATCGACGTAGAATAGCCGAGTTTCGGCCTACACTATGCGATTACTATAGCTATGTAGGGTGCTGTGGTCCGGATGTCAGATTTGGGTATGCGCTCACAGGACCCTGGGACGTAGCAAGCAACCCAGTCAGGGTACAAGCGAGTCTTGTAGGAACCCCCGTTAGAGGAACCCGTTTAAAAGGAATCCAATTCTGACAACGGGTACCTGCAACGTGACATGCCACGTGGAAAGAATAATGTACTGAAGAACCCTTATAAATCCTTGTCAAGGAATCCTCATCAAGTTATTCAGGCCCCTATACTGAGAATGCCCCCAACCAGGTCCGAAAACCCTTAACACTAAAATACCACAGGAACGAGTCCCTGAACACCCTAAACCCTGAAAGCCTAAAATGCCGCCAACAAAGAATTCCGAAAACCCTAAACCCCAAAATGGCACCGGAAAGAGTTCCTCAAAACGATAAACCCTAAACGCCTAAAGTGCCACCGCAAAGAGTCCATGAAAACCCTTAAACCCAAAATCCGAAACCCTAAACCCTCAAACCAGCCCTAAACCCAAAAACGACTCAGGAAATCGTCCCTAAAACCCTGAAGCACTAGACTAAACCCTAAACCCGGAAGCTCTAAACCCTAAACCCCCGAAGCCCCAAATCCTAAACCCTAAACCCTTACACCCCAGGCGCCTAAACCTAAACCCTAAGCCCTAGAAACCCTAAACCCTAAACCCTAAACCCAAAAACGACCCAGGAAAGTGTCCCTGCCTTGCGCTTGGAGACCGATTTCTGCTCCGGGGACCAAAGGCCAAGGTCTGAAGCCGTACCGCTGGCCAACTGCGGGGATTAGGGGTTTGGGGTTTAGGGGTTTAGGGTTTAAGGGTTTAGGGTTTTTTGGGTTTTGGGTTTGGGGTCTAGGGGACTAGGTTTAGGGGTTTGGGAGTTTTGGGTTTAGGGGTTTTGGGTTTAGGGTTTGGGGGTTTAGGGGCTTTGGGTTTAAGGGTTTCGGGGTTTAGGGTTTAGGGGAGTAGGGTTTAGGGGTTTAGGGTCTAAGGGTTTAGGGGATTAGGGGATTAGGGTTTAGGGTCTAGGGGTTTAGGGTTTAAGGGATTAGGGGTTTAGGGTTTAGGGGATTAGGGTTTAGGGGTGTAGAGGATTAAGGTTTAGCGTCTAGGGGTTTAGGGTTTAGGGGTTTAGGGCTTGGGTTTAGGGGATTAGGGTTTAGGGGTTGAGGGGTTTGGGGTGGCCAACTGCGGCATCAGAGTTTGGGTTTAAAGGTTGTGGGCTTTGAGGGCTTTACGGGCTTAAACGGGCTTTGGGGGGTTTCGTGTTTAGGGGTTTCGGGTATGGACTCGTTGTTCTTGAAATTACAATAAGAGGTACCAGGGGTTCTTCAAGCAGTTTAAGTGAATCCTTCAGTTTGAGAGTCGTGTCCTTGAAAATGGTGCGTCCAAGGTAGGGTTTAGGGTTTAGGGTTCAGGGGATTAGGGTTTAAGGTTTAGGGAACTCTGTGAGGCATATAGATGTGATATGACTGCAACTTCTTTTTCTGGAAACTGGTCCTGTTGCTATACACGGCACAAGGGTTCTATAAGCAGTTCGAGGCTTTCTCGGGTTTAGACATGATAGGTTGCAAAAGGCATACAGGCTCCGTGATTGCAAGCCCCCTAAATCGCACAGTGGTTCTGCGACTGCAGTTATAGGAGTTAGGATTAGGGGAACCCTTGTTAAGAAGGTCCTTTTTAAGCCAGCCATAAGTAGGGTCAAGAGTGGTCCCCTTTAAGGGGTCTCCCTAATACTACCTAGTAGCAGTTTGAGTGTTCTTTGGTAGTAGAGCTCTTCTCGTCGTTCCTCGTGGAACTGCCAATTCTCCTGAGCCCTGTCCAGCACTAAATCTATCGAGGGTTAGGGTTTAAAGGGTTAAGGCTTCAGGGCTTAGGGTTTGGGCTGGGTTTGGGGGTTTTCGGTTTAGGGTTCAGTGTGTAGGGCTCAGTGCTCCAGTGTTCGGGGCGGCAACCCCTGCCGCATGGCTGCCCTCTGCTGGTCTGACTTTTATGCTTCACCCAGCTTTTGTGGATAAATGTAGGGGCTTTAATAATGGGGGTATATTTCTTATATTAATCTACCCCCACACCCTATTCCAATTACGAGCGCGACCCAGTATTAAGGCCCCTATATTAGGGAGTGCATCAGGCGCAGATCCCGCATAGAGGCACCAAGCCAGTAAGAACAGCGTGACTCAAAACTGGCAAGCACACAGCCACGAAGGCACCTCAAGAGCGGCTGGAGGCCTTACGAGCCAGGGCCCTTGGGGCCGCATCCCTAGCTGCTCTCCACCCTGCTTTGCTAGGAACAGTTGAAACGTGGGCAAGTAAGCAAACAGGGGACTGCCAATGTGCGGGCGAAACTCCACGATGACAGCAGTGCGCTTGGCATTCAAGCGGGCAGTGCACAGGGACACCTCCCTTGCGACGGCAACTGGCTCAACTGCAAGTCGTGGTCCAGAAAGCCACGCGTCAACTCAAGGCAAGACACTCAATCATCTTCTTGTAGCCCTCACGGCCTCTCATTGCAGCAACTTCTGGGTCCGCTTCCAATAGGCTCACCGCTTTTGCCCTGGTGTCGGCCAGCGGCTCTAGCTCTTCTGGTGACGTGCTCATCAGTATCGTATTGATCACTTTGTTGACAATATCCGGATCAATGGTCTCGGAAGCCTTGTCGGCTTGGGGCTCCGCTTTCTTGGAGCGCTTCGGTTCAGGTGGGGATGAGGCTGGCTCTTCATCCCTCTCTCACGCTGTGACATTCCATGTCTCACCGTAAGAGAGTTGAAGTCCCACACAGGCTTCGTTTGTTCACATTGAAAGCATCAGAATCAGGCATGAGTCGTCCTTTCAAGCGTTGGGTACACCACCGTGCGGGTACTCGGAGCTGTCGTCTCTTCGTTAAAGGAAGCTACAGGTTGGGAAGTTTAGGGTATATAGGGCTTCTATAAGGTATATAGACCTTCTATACAGCTCCTATAACGGTAACTACCCACCTGAAAATGTCCTAGACTTCGTTTTTCGAAAAAGAAAACACTGGACCGATAATTGCCTAACTCAACCTTACCGCCATGGTTACACAAGCCTTGATCCTTAAACCTTCAGCCCTCAGCCTAAACCCCAAAACCCAGAACCTCAAACCCTGAACCGTAAACCCTGAAGAACTTGAACCCTTAACCCTAAAACCCTAAACCCTGAACCCTAAAACTCTAAACCTCAGAGCCAGGAGCCCGAAATCTCCGGAGATTCCGCGGCCTGCTGGGTGACGGGGTTGTAGGCTAAGCACTGGATCGACCTGGGAGCCGTTTATATCGGGGCCCAAAAAAGCACATAAGCAAAAATTAGGATAGGGATATCACATATAACCCCCCTTATAATAAAGCCCAATGAGGTAGGGATATCCCTATAAAATGCTTATGCTTATGTCCTTTTGGGGTCCCCGAGGTTAGGGTTTAGGATTTAGGTTCGAGGGTTCAGGGTTTAGGAATTAAATCCCACGGGCCAGAGAAATTTCAATACGGTCTGTGTAAGGGCATATTCTTATCTAAGATAAGAGCTATGACAATAAGGAGCCGCAAGGACTAGTATCTTCAAAATTATAGCGCAAAAAATCGTCTCAACCAGACGCCGTGAAGTGTCGAATCTCAAATGCTGCCTGCCACAGTAATCCTACGGGTCCATGTCGTTGTACCTGGATAGGGTTCACCCTAAACCCTAAACCTACAGTGCCGAAATAGTGTAATCGCGCTCCCTTCAGGCGTGGGTCTAAGCATATAATATAGTATAAGCCTGTCAGCAGGGCAGGTAGCTTGGGTATCAGAGCAGATCTCGATCATACTCTGATGAGGTAATTGCAGAGTTTAGGGTTTGCACTTGCCGACTTGTGGCGGAAGCAAGGAGAAAAAGGGCTTGCGGGGGGCATCTTGCTCTACAATCCTATCTGCACGCCGTGCACGGATACTGCACTGCTGACTGTTCATGGCGCTACTCAAGAACTGCTGCTGACCCGCCGGGATCCTCGCCTTTGAGGCCACAAGTACGCTCACCCATGTGGTACTGTATAGACAGGCAGCCATGCACAAGTCAACCTTAAGCCATGCTCCAACTGTTGGCGGCTTTATCGTAATGTAGGGGCCTTAATAATCAAAATTTGTTATTGGTGGTATATCATACTACAATTATAGTTAGGAGCCCCCAAAACCCTATTCTAATTATTTAGGCCCCTACACTACCCGAACTTGGAAACCAGTACAGCATTCCTTCGTGACTCCCAAAGATTCATCTAATATAGGGGGCCTTGTAATCATCAGATTCAGATTAGGGTTTTGGGGGCCCTTTATAGTATAATTATCATAAGGAGCCCCCCCAAATAGTGTAGGTAGTTATTGAGGCCTATAATAGCTGGGGACCAAAGACTCATCTAGTGTCCCTCAGGCACTCCAAGCCCTGAACACCCGGAGATCGACGTCTCGGACCATGGTGTTCGAAACCAGGGTGAAGAGAGATGGTCTTAAAGTAATGTAGGGGCCTAAATAATTACCACTATTTTGGGGGTTCCTTACTATGATTATAGTATAACGGGGCCCAAAACCCTACTCTAATTATTAAGGCCCCTATAATATATGAGATGACACCAGTAGGCTTTCGGACCACGGCAAGGCATAGGTTCATTGTGCTTGCCCTAGGCCCTAAACCCTAACAAGGCATCGGCTCATTGTGGTTGTACTTGAGAATCCCCTCTGCCTCGTCAACAGGAAGCAGGACTAAACAGAGCATGGGAATTTGTTGCAGGGGCTTCGGGGTGAAAGAAGTCAGATGTGGAGGTAGTTCGAACTGCTTCTTCATAAACCCTCACTCCAATCACCCTGAACCATTTCCCTAAAAACCAGGACCGTCTCCCTTGATCGTGGTACAGTGCCAAGCCCCACGACCCTTCCCTTTTCCTGGAACTTCCCCCTAAACCCTAAACCCTAAACCCGAACTGCCGGCTCAAGATTTGGGGCTTCATAACCTGCGGGCGTGTGCCGGTAGGATTCAAGTTTACGGTTTGCGATTTTTAAAGGGGGGGGGGTTAGGGTTTAGGGCGGATCAATTTAGCAGATGGGGGTTGGGCCGGGGGGTGGGGGAGTTGTTTATTGGGGTTGAGGTTTAGGTTCAGGGTTCGAGTTTTGGAAACGGGGCTGCCAGCTGCTAACTAAGTCAACTCTGCACAGAAGCAACAACATCTCTGCAGCCTAGAGGAGTTGGAGTGCTTTGAGCTTTGGCTTAGGCCTTTGAACCTCAAAGGCCGTAGTTCGTGTGGTAGCAACCCTAAACCCTAAACCCTAAACCCCTAAACCCTAAACCCCTAAACCCCTAAATCCTAAACCCTAAACCCTAAACCCCTAAACCCTAAACCCTATAGAAGGGCGTCCTTCGGGGTAGGCTTAATTATGCACAGAGGGCATGCTGACCGAAAGATGCCACGGTCAAACGCTTAGGGCTGTTCTGGGTCACACTCGGAAACCCTGCCGGAGTAGTTTTTAATTAAGGTTTAGGGGTTTGGGGGTCTAGGTTTTTGTATTATTGAGTCTAGATTTAACAGAGTATAGGGTTCTCACGCAAACCCGTTGGGCAAGGAAGATTTGCCGATTGGCCGGGCATTTCGGATTTTACCACTGAACCTCCAACACTACAATGTTAAGAAGAACGATTTGGGCTCTACTCGTGTGGCCCTTCTTGTATCTAACCTCATTATGAACCATAGATGGGGGACTGCGGGGGGACGTGGACTTAGGTCGACTTAGCCTGCACACATAGGCAACCGAAAGCCGTCCCTTTATCGGAGGCTGTACTCTAGAAACCCTACGTAGCCGCGAAACAGAAAATGTTGAAAACAAGCATAACTGTGGCTACTCTCGGTCACAGAGACCTCAGAGCCCAAATCACCTAACAGTGAGGTGACGCTAACCCTAGACCATAATACTCCAATATCCTCATATAAGGGCTTTCAGAATTAGAGTAGGGTGTTGGGGTGTACTGTAGTGTACTTATATAGGGATTATACTGGGACGCTGTTAGTAATTGTTACAATTCCGACGCCCCTGTATGCGTACACTTACGCCCTTGACCCTCAGACCCTCAACCCCACACACTCGCCACCTGCTGCCCCAAGCGCGACCCAATCCCTGAAAAAAGAACCTGAGCCATAAACCCGAACCCCACACCCCAAATCAAGCCGTAACCCCTAAACCCCTAAAC